CCTAGACCCTTCTTCAGAAATGAAGGGTCTAGGCCCGAAACGTCAGCTTTCCTGCTCCTCTGCTGCTTGGCCTGCTGTGTTCATCCAGCTCTACACCTTGTTATCTCGGATTCTCCAGCATCTGCAGTTCCTACTATCTCTATAATATTGTTAGCCCATTTTCTATTAACCAAAATATCATTATGATCTATGAATGACTTGTAAATAGTGTCATACAGCATGGAAACAGTTCCTTTGGGTCAACTCATGCCAACCATGTTTCCCAAACTAAACTAGTCCCATTTTCCTGAATTTGGCCCATACCCCTCTAAATGTTTTCTATTTGTGTACCTGTCCAAACGTCTTTTAAATATTATAAATGCATCTGCATCTACCACTTCCTCTGGTAGTTCATTTCATATGCGCACCACCTTCTGTGTGAAAACTTGCCCCTCAGATTCCTTTTAAATCTTTCCCTTCTCACCTTAAACTTATGCTTTCTAGTTTTGAACTCCCCTACCCTAGTTACATCCTTGTAAACCTTTTCTGCACCTTTTCCAATTTAATAACATCTTTCCTATAGCAAGGCAACTAGAACTGTACACAGTATTCCAAAAATGGTCCCACCAATATCCTGTACAGCCGCAACATTCCAATGCTCAATGCTCTGACAAATGTACATGAACCCTTAGGTCTCCGTTTCTCAAGGCTCCTACTATTATCTGTGTAAGTGCTGCCCAAGTTTGTCTTATCAAAATGCAACACGTTGCATTTATCCTATCCAAATTAAACTCGATCTGCCACTCCTTGGCCCATTGACCCAGCTGATTAAGATCCCGTTGCACTCTTAGATAACCTTCTTCACTGTTCACTATATCACCAATTTTGGTGTCACCCGCAAACTTAATAACCATGCTTCCTATATTCTTATATAAAATGACAAACAATAGTGGACTCAGCACCAGTCCTTGAATACATGATTGTATGAGTGCTATGTCTGAAAGCAGGTGCTTGGCTCATTGTTTGCTCATGCTTTGACCTTAGCCAATCCTTTGACAATTTTTTTGGTCATGTTTTGGCATTGCCTTCTACTGTTGGTGGCAAGATAGGAGACAGGTCCCAAGTCTATCTCTGCAAAAAATGGGAATCAATTCCATGCCATTTGAGTGTGAACCACATACTAGCCAACAGAACTAACAGTTCCCTGTTCACAAGCAGAACAGTGTAAAGTAGAAAGATTTCACACAAGGAGTATGGGGCAGAAACAAACACAGTTTTAGCACTGGAGTCACAGCAGCTTGAGCTGAGAGGCAGAAATTGAATACCATCATCATCCCACCACCCTCACACTTCAATGCTGAATTTGTTTTATTGGTGCATTTTCTGAAAAAAAAAAGAGATAAATAAAACTTTACACTGTAAAATCTTCCTTATATTGTAAATAATATATATACACATACAAAACTATTGTTATCAAAACCTCCTACCTACTCACTGCTACTCTGCACAGCCTCAAACAATAACTGGTCATGCTGAGTTTTACAAAAAGTTGCAATAATTAATGGAAGAAGATGGAAACCAAATCACAAACTGGCTTCTGATAGACCAGAGGATTACAGCAAATGTCTGCAATACTCAAACTTGTGGATCTTGTCCATGAGGAGTTAGAGAACATATTTGTTTACAATGGACTGACAAAATGGTCATAAGAAAGGAGAAAGCCATTCCTCTCACGTCCTTGCTGGTTCCCTGCAGAGCAATTCCCTCATCTTTTGCCCTTCTTCCTGACATTGTTTTCCCTTCAGATATTGATCCAATTCTTCTCTGAAAGCCACAATTGAATCTGCCTCTACCACACTATCAGGCAGTGAATTCTGAGCGTAACTGTGTATAAAAAAGCTTTTCCTTGTTTTTCTTGCCAATCACCTTAAATTTGGATCTTGACTTTTCTACAAATACAATCAGCTTCTAATGTGTCTAGTGAGTTTTTAATGTCTCAATACCACATCTCTTCTCAATCTTCTCACAAGGAGAACAGCCTCAGCTTCTGCACCCCCTCTAAATGTTGTCAAATCCTTCCTAAAGTGTGATGCCCAGGATTGGACACAATACTCCAGTTGAGGCTGACCAGTGTTTCACACAAGTTTTTCATTTCTCCTTGTATTTTTCAACCGATGTCTCTATCTATAAAGCCAGAATCTTGATGCTTCATTAATGACATTCTTACCCTGCCACTTTCAATGATGTGTACATATAGCCCCAGTTCCCACTGCTCTTCCACTACCCCCCCTCAATTTTTAAAATGATACTCTTTATATTCTTTCTCCCTGTTTTTCCTATATAAGTTAATCCAAGAAAAATTCAGATCGCCATATGGTTTAACTTGTCTTAACATTACTGCTGATCATGGGAAATAGTCCTTTGGATTTATTTATGAATGATAATTAACCACAATTCTGCTCTATGACAACCTTATTGGGTTTGTGGTGTTAAAACACTGTTCCTATGCTTTTGATGCCATGGGGCTACAAACAGCATCAGCACCAGTCATACAGTGCCCAGTCCAATAAGTTAAATTATTCAGACAGGTGAAAACAGAAAACAAAATGTTGTTATAGGCTGCATTTGGGACAATGTTAGGTTAACCTTTTCACAGGGTTTGAATTTGAAATAATTATTTCATGTGTAGTCACTTCAATGATGTTATCCACTCCTGTCAATGGGAACATCCTTATACTCATTAGTATCTGTGTGTGGTTTTTTATAGTGGGGGGAAAGAGGTGGACACCACCTTCTGCATATGTCCCAGAAAGTCTGAAGAAATGGGGATCACCACACTGTGCCCACCTAGCAGAGACATCATGGCCTGTCCAGTGATCAACTCAAAATGTACGAAGCATTTGAGTGCAATGGAATGTGTTAGGGAAGGAAGATGGTACTCTGAGCCGGTCAATACTGCTTGGATTCCAATACAGACTATTCTTAGTTCATATTTCAACAACACATTGCGGTGACTTGCTTCTTATTTCAGCAGCGATGACCTTTGCTCCCGATTCTCCAATCCTGTTGCCCTGGAGACTGCAAGAGAAAAAAAACCAATGGAATGAAATGTCACAGTGTTGTGTTCTTTAAGGTTTGGGGTGCATCTAGAAGGGAGAGGAGAACCTAATTTGTAACAGAATGTATGTAGCAGGACTATTGCTTAATCAAATTATCACCATCACGTGTCCACGGTCAAAATTGCTTGCCATGATACCGAGGAAGCAGAAGGCCTGGGATGTTGTTAAAGATTGGCATCATTATTTAACAGCCCTGTTAGCCGTGATGTTTGTGATACTCTGATGTGGATTTAGCTGTAAATGGCATCAAACCAATTATTCACCACTTCTCACTGGTGCACTGGTATGTGTGATACCAGTGAGGCACTTCTGTTGGTAACTTTACTCTTTGGCTATTTTGGGAACCTCAAGAGAGGCAGAGGGACAAAGCAAATTTAAAATAGGTTAGAAGAAGAGCAAAAGTGACACTCACTTGATGTGGCTGAGGCTGCGGTTGTATTTCAAAGCAATTGCAATGCACATTGCCCCATCAAGTCCCAAGGAATTTTCTTGAAGGCTGCAAAAGAAAAACACAGAAACTAAATTATTTATTCAAGTAAATAAATAAAGGAGCATTCCAACAGTCAGTGAATGGCAAAGCCCACAATGCATCACTTATCTCAGAGCCAAACCAAGATTGCATTTAAGGCTAAGACTTGCAGGTTTAGTTTGCTCTATGTGCAAGTGACTCAAGATCTTGAGTTAAGGCTAAATGCCACTTTCACAGATTATTTTCATTGTCCATCACCAAAATTTGCACAATTGTTTAGTCTCTGACTCAACATGTCAAAAATAGAATTCTGGCAACATACAGAAGGCAATCAGCAACCACCCTCTGAACTTAAAATATCAGCCTCTCTTTGTCCTTGCCAGATGCTGACCCACTGAGTATTTTCAGCATTTCATGTTTTTATATATTGAGTGCTCAATGCACAAGGACAAACCTGAGCCAGCAACCACAGGATATGAATTCAAGTCCCAACATTAACTGTGATACTGAATTCAAGAAATCTGATCATCTGTGAATTAGTATCAGTAAAAGTGACCACAAAACTGTTTGGATTTTCCTAAAGGTCCAACTGGTTCCTTAATGCCCTTCAAGAAAGGCAACCTCCTATTCTAACTCCTCTGAGTGATATTAGAATTAGAATTAGATTTATTGTCACATGCACTCATGAGTGCAGTGAAAAGTTTACAAAGTCACCACTTAGAGCTATTTTAGGTACAAAAAAGGTATTTAGGTACAGTTCTTAAGAATAAATTAGAAAAATAGAGAAATAAAACGTTCAGCATTACAGTCCTTCAAGCGGACTGTGCCACGACTTGCCTCCAGACTGCTCCAACAATATTTGGTTAACTCTCAACAGCCTTCAAGTTAACTAAATTTGGGCAATAAATATTCCCAGAAATACCTGGTAGTGAGTAAAAGTGTCAGTGTGATTTGCTTCATGGCAATTTCACTGCTCAGAAAGTCATCCTAGAATTTGAGCACAAGATCTTAAAACAGCCCTACAATGCTGTACTGAGGTGCTGTATTGTCAGTGGTGCTCTAACGTATTAAACTGACTTTCAGCATATCTAGACACCATTCAGAGCAGAGGGTTAAGATGTACAGGTCGCACTCCAAATATTCAGCTCATTTCTATTTTGTAGAATCCTGCTATGTTTGTTGATTATGACGTGTCTCTTCCCTTTCAACACGAGTCACTGTGTGGAGCAGATAAATCTGTCTCTCAGTCATTGCCCAGTATTGTCACAGCAACTCTTCACACTGCTGGATACTACCTCTTGCCCACCATGTTTTCCCGAAGACTGAAGTAGACGAGACAGATACTACACCTCAGGGCAGTTACGTTTCATTCAAGTACTTTTTCCAAGGATATAGGTTAAATTGCAAATCATGAATTATGTACATACTTGAGAGTTTGGAGGCTGTTGTTGACTTTCAAACCGTTAGCGATCGCCTTTGCCCCAGCTACACCCACCATGTTTCCTCGGAGACTGAAAGAAGAAATGAGAAAAACATTACGGTCAGAGGATCTGGGTATTGTCAAATGGCACACACACTTGCACAGACTCCCTTAATTTTTTTTTTTGGGATTTGGCATTTCTTGCCCATCCCTAAATTGCCCTTGAGATGATGGTGGTGATGAGCTGCCTTCTTGAACCGCTGCATTCCTCCTGCTGTAGGTTGACTCACAATACTATTAGGGCTGACAATGTGATGAAACACTAACAAGGCTTTAAGATAAACTTGGGTAGGTTGATCTATATCCTTCCATACTCTCACCGACCCTCCACTATCTGTCCCACAATCTACTGCTCTATTGCAGGTACTGTGGAGTCAACCACTACCAGCAAGTGGTTGTGGGTAGAGTGCTGCACCCAATCCTCTTTGCTACCTTTTAATTAAGAAATGAACAGTAATAGTTTAGACAGACCTTAATGGGCAACATAACAAAACATCAAGATGCCAATGGAAACAATCTTCCTTTCCATTCTTAAACAAAACTTTAATTGGATTATACAGCCCTTGGTGGAGGAACAATCCTCTTTTCTAGGTATTTTCTAATCAACTTGTTCAAACATATTATGATACACTTCTGGAACTGGGACCTGAACCTGGGTCTTTCAGCTCAGAGGTGGGACACTACTAATGCATCACAAAATCCCTACTTAACTAACCTAACTACCACAATTTCTTAAGTAGATTATTTTTTCAAATCAACATGTTCGTTAGGCATAACACATGTCTGAAGCAGGACAGACTTAAACCCAGGCCTTCTGGCCCAGAAGGTGGGATACTACCATTGCACCATAAGAGTCCTTGGAATGGGGTCAGTGTCTGTTTCTTAACAGTCATCCAATCTGTCTGAGTTCAGACATGTGTTTGTCAGGATCCTTTCCTTGTGCAGACACTAATCCCCTCACTGTGGAAAAACCTAGTTATTATTAATATTTAAATTGATTTTCTAATCAACCCAGAGATGTTATTACATCTCCACCGGAGAAGTGTGACTTGAACCCAGGTCTCTAGGCCCCAGAGGCAGGGTCACTACTACTGTGCTGCAAGAGACCATTGGAGCAGGACATAGTTATTTTATAAATCAACTGGTTCAGAGATGCTAATGACACATGTCTGGAACAAGTAGGACTTGAATACTGGTTCAAAAGGGTCTTTTTGGTTAAGATTCATTTGAGGTTCAACATTAACAAGATATAGGCTATTGAGTAACACAAGTCATATTGGTCTGGTAGGTACATAACTAAGACTATCAAGAGATAATTATGACATATGTCTCCATCAGAATCTCAAGCTACATTCACCACCACCCCGCCAAACCACTGAGAATGTTTTCAGAACGGGTAGAGCTTAATGCAATCTCCAACATTAACTGTTTAAGAATATTACCTATTACAATATCTCCCTCCCCAAACATTTTTTGCTAATAGAAAACATTTATACATTTGGATATGTAACCATATTTACATTTACAAAGACTCCATTTCTCCAGGTCTCTTGACTTCACACATTCAGAATGTCTAGAGTTATCACTGTTCTTCCAGAACACATTCCCTCCAGACTTGGATAATCAGTAGGTTCTTTGTCTTGAGGAATGTTGGCCTTGACGCTGATCTTTACCTTGATTGGTTCATAATAAATAAAGATCCTTCAGTAGAGAAATTCTTTTATTACTCCATAACGCCATCTGGAGGACCTTTAATCTCATTAGTTTCCATTATGGGAATAAGATGGCTGCTCGGTGGAAGCAAGTACTTTATTGTTTACAGCATCCTGGATTTTGGAACCAGTTAGTTTCTCCTTAACCATGTCCTGAACCTGTGGATACTGGTCTGGCTTCCATGATGTGGTATGCAGCTCATCTTCATTTTGTGCAAGCAAATTTTCATTCTCAATCTGCTGATATACCTATGTTGAAGTATGCAAGCACTTTGACTTGTCAAAAAAGTGCCACGTCTTTGTTTGCCCTTTGAAGATGTGTTCCTGGTACACTGGATATCTTCACATACTTAGTCTTGTTACTATTGCTTACTTAGTATCATCTTTGTCACTTACACAGATCATTCTTCTAGGAAGGATGAAATGTTGCTCTTGAACTTGTCATCTGATCATCAAATATAAAAACTAAATCTGCTGTATCAATTTGTTCACTATACTGTTTTGCTATCTGAACAACTTTAGTTAAAGACTTGCCAATGAGCTTATGTAAATTGTACAGTCCGTCTTGTTTTCGGGATTTGCTTCTTCTGATCTTTCTTCAATGATAGGTCTGTTTTACAATCCTGTCTGATCACAGATTTCACAGTAAGTTGCGAGATCTTCAATCTCTCTTGAGATCGCTAACCACAGACCACTGCCTGACCTTTGCCCCTACATCTGGCAATGCCATAGTATCCCAGTGTATTTTTTTTCCAAGACATCTTCCTGAAAGGATGCTGGAATAACTAGTCTTTGGTCATGCATTAGTATTCATCTATTTCAAAATGTTCAATGATCAAAGTCTGTGTTCTCAGCCGACTCACTGGATGTTTGGTCTGGCTATTCTTTAATGCAATGCCTGCAAATGGTAGTACACTCTTGATTCTTTTGTTTTTGTTGAATTGCATGAGTCTTTTCTTGGCTTTCTGGTCACTGGTTCTTCTCTGCCATACAAAACATTTATTGATGCCGTCATAGGTAATTTCATGGATTCTCTCTTCTTTTTGAGTTCCATCGTGAATCTAGGAAGCACATTGAGATCTTCTGCCAGTTGACCTTTGGCTGTTATGCAGAAGCTGTAATTTCCGTTTCTTTAGGCATGGTATTTAATCTGATAGAGCAGTGACATTCACCGTTGTATCAAGCTTAAATTAATTAGATGTCAAACTGAAGTCAATATCAACTCCACTGTCCCAGCCCACCTCGATCCCCTACAATTTGCCTACCGATACAACAGGTCCACAGAGGATGCCATTTCCCTAGCCCTGCACTCATCCCTGGAGCATCTGGGCATCAAAGGCACCTACATCAGACTCCAGCTCATTGACTACAGTTCCACCTTCAACACCATTATCCCCTCCAGACTGATCTCAAAACTCCATGACCTTGGTCTCAGCTCCGCCTTCTGCAACTGGATCCTCTGCGGCCTGTGGGTCAGAAAGCTATCAATGAAGATAGGTAAGTGCACCTCCTCCACAATAATACTCAACGCTGGAGATCCCCCACCCCAAGGACACATCCTCAGTCCCCTTCTATATTCCCTTTAGACCTAGGACTGTGTTGTCAAATTCCAAATGAACACCATCTACAAGTTCACTGACAACACCACTTTAGTGGAACGGATATCTAACAACGACTAGTCAAACTACAGAAGGGAGATAGAGGGCTTGGTGATGTGGTGCAATGAAAACAATCTGTCTCACTGACAAAACTAAAGAACAGATGATCGGCTTCAGAAAGGAGGAGAACACGCCCCATCCACATCAACGGAACTGAGGTTGAGAGGGTGGACAGCATCAAGTTCCTTGGAGTGACGATAACCGACAAGCTGTCCTGGACTTCCCATGTAGATGTGACAGTCAAGAAGGCACAACAACACCCCTTCTTCCTCAGGCAGCTCAGGAAATTTGTAATGTCGATAAAGCCCCTCAACTTCTCCAGATGCACCATTGAAAGCATGTCCAGGTGCATAACGGTCTGGTATGACAACTGCTCCACCCAGGACCGTAAGAAACCACAGAAGGCTTGCTGCCGTGGAAGAGCTGCCAACATCAAAGACCCATCGCACCCCGGTAATGATCTCCTACAACCTCTTCCATCAGGCAGAAGATACGGAAGTCTGAACACTCACGAGCAGGTTCAGGAACAGCTTCTTCCTGGCCGTTATCAACCTGATAAATGGACTCTCTAGTCTCAAATCACACTGATTTTGCTAACGTTGATCTCACCTAGCACATGCCCTGTGCAATGTAACCTGTATGCCTCTAAGTCTTTTTGATCTGTACATCCTTTCCTTACTATGATCTGCTTGTACTGCTCGTAAACAAAGCTTTTCACTATATATTGGTACACGTAACAATAAATAAATCAAAATCAATCAGATGCATCACTGATTTTCCTTTAGAATGCTTTGGATATCTTTTCTAATGATAATGGTTCCACCTTATTAACACCTTTACCTGAATAAGCATTTGGCATTTTACTGCTGTAGAAGTTGTGTCCTACTTCTGTACATCTTTTGGAAGTGACCTATAGATGTTGCGTTCTTTTGTCTTGGTTGGGTACTGCTTGTGCCTGTGAAACTGCTTTGTACCACACTGACTCATTTTATCTGACATTTGGCCTGGCCTAAAGACGTGTCTTTAGAGTGCATAAGGTGGATTATAATTATAGAAAGTGGATGGATTCAATGATAAAATTGTCATTCTCCGAGTTTGTCATCTGAGAATCTCCTGGTTTCTGCTTCCAAAGTCAAGTCTTCTTTGGACTTTAATACACCCGACAAAGACTTATCAATAATTCCAACAACAATTCTCTCATCTGCATTCTGATTTCAAAGCTCCATAGTCACAGATTTCCATTAATCTAGACTAGAGAGATTATTAATATAGTTATCTACAGATGCTCATGGATGCTGAATTGTTCTGTTAAACCTTGCTTTTTCAAGAATTCTGTTCCTTCTCAGGTTAAAGTCATTGTAAAAAAGTTAAAAGAATTGCAGAGTTATCTGTGCCTTTTATATTTTTGCAAATTATAACAACAACACCTGTATATCCTCATACAATACTGTCATTTATTTTTTCAGCTTGAGGTATAGTATTAATGTTGAAGTAATTCTATATCTAAATAATGGTTTTCTCCAAGATTCCAATCTTGTGTTTTATCTGGCCTACCTCTTATACTGAGTCTGTGTAGTATTATTATTAACCACACGTTCTTAATATGATTATTTATTCTTCACATTAGAAGCTATATTAAATTCTTCAGTATCTAAATTCTGTTGTATTAAAGACTACAAACCTTTTAACTTTGCAGTAAACCAAAGCTGTTTTATCCTTTTTTCTTGGAAGATTTTTTTTTACACCTGTAAGCAGCAATGCTGTTTTTATTTTCTTCATTTTACCATCTTCTAAACTGTGCAATAAAGCAATGCTCTCAGAAGGTAGTGAATCTGTGGAGTTCTTTACTACAAAGGACTGTTGAGACTGGGCCATTAAAGTATATTCAAGGCTGCGAGAGACAAATTTTTAAACAGTAAGGGAATCAAGGGTTATAGAGAAAAGACAGGAAAATGGGGTTGAGGCATATTGGATCAACCATGATCTCTTTGAAAGGCAGAGCAAAATCGATGGGCTGAATGGCCGACTTCTCTCTTACATCTCATGCAGTTAAAGTGGCAGAGTATTTAAGAAGTTGTAAATTCACTTGTCATCTGAATATCTTTTCTCGTAGGTCCAGTGGATATCTTATTCCATTGTTCCCTTGTGATACATAAGTTACGACGCCTACTAGTGATCACTATATTGTATGTGCGGCTGGACCAACCACTACCATCACTTAGTTGAGGCCGAATGCTGCCACCAGTCCTCCATACTACATTGGGTCTAGGGGCCTATTTGCTTAATACTGGTAGAATATTACCTACTACTGACTCTTAACAAGGAGGGACACTTGTCTGTGCAAAAATGTTGGATGTAAGAAGAAAGACTATCAGGAGACAATTGAGAAATTGGTCTCCATTGGGATTTCGAGTTTGAATCCTGTTGGAGTTTAATGTAGTCTATAGCATTAACCCTTTTGGAATTATTACCTTCTACAAAACCGATTTCTTTTCAAGTTCCCTTAAACTCACTTAACCCTTTCTCTTTATTATTTCATTATCCAGGGACACAATTATCTCATCTTCCCAAATATTATATTGGATTCAATAGGAATTTATTCCATTTGCATGCCATCTCCATCCTAATAACTTCCCTTCTTAACCTTATTAGCATCCTTAAGTATTTGAACTCTTCAGCTCCCGACAATTATCCTTGATCAGTCCTAATATAATCTCTGATCGGAGTGAAACATTTACACATTTCCGAAAGGAAAAGACAATTTTCTGAACCTCTATCAGGAGTTGAATTCCTGATCCTCAAATCTCCAAGAAGAAATTATCTTCTTATAATCCAGTGCTCAAAACTGAAATCAGTGCCCTTGTCAGTTTTTAATCAACGCCTACACAACTCGTAGAAAATGGCCCCCTCTGTATAAGTGAATGCTAAATGTTCAGCAGTATCATTAGTTGTACTCACTCCAGAGTTGTCAAGCTGTTATTCACCAGCAAAGCATCAGCCAAGGCCTTTGCACCTCTCACACTCACTGACGTCCCCTGTAGGCTAGGATAAAAGAGACTAAATTAATTACATTAGGATCATGTTCATCTGAATGCAAACTACAATTGCAGGACACATCAGATCAGTGGCTGGAAACACTCTTCCCACATGCATTGTCAGGTCCAGGAAGTAATTCTGATTTCATAGAGATTGGATGTCACCATGGCAATCACTTTACAGCAATCATGGACACCATTCCCTTCCAGATTCAAATTCTATGTAACATTTATCATTTTAACTTAACCTGGGTGTACATTACAAGAATCAAACTTCACCTTATCTTACCCAACACACAGCCCACTATCAGATCCACATTCAACAAATAGCATCCTACACAAAAACAAATTCTTCCAGAATAATGTGTAAGAAAGTGATGATGCTTAGCACCTCTGTGATCAGTAGTAGTGATTAAATGATACACTGTACTCTTGAATTGATCGGTACCTTCTTTCAGCTGATAGCAGGTAACTATTGTATTTAAAAATGGGATTTTGGGTAAATTCAGTGCTCGCAGTGAACAGCTATGGTCAAGAGAGAGTGCAGATCAGTGCATCTTTGCTGGTGTTCAGTCCTGACTCCAGCCAGACTCCCTTACAGCAGGACTCACCCAGGGTTTCTGAATTTACCTTCTACCATTTCCAGAGTTTAATCATGTTGGTTTTGTACCGGTTCTGGAGATTGCTCCCTGTAGCCTATGCACATGACTCCAGTCCATTGTGATTTTCTAACTTAGTTGGGATTTGACTTTTAAATTGAACACATTATTTCCTGTTAGCTGAAGTGAACAAGTAACTTACTACAAAGAGGTCAGCACTGAGTTATTTTTGAGTGCAGCTGAAAGAGCGATGATCCCTTCATCTCCAATGCTGTTTTCCTGAAGGCTAGAAATAATACCAAAAATTAGTGTTGAGGACATCAGCAGGAATACAAATAGGTGATAATTCTAGTCACAGTGCCTCACTCATCAAGCCGTCTCTTACTGACCTACAGTCTCACCTTCCACAAGAAGCCCAAGCAAGCATTAGAAAAGTCAAGTGTAGAAGTGACTAAAGCACGGAAATGACTTTTAGCAGTGTAGGGACTGACATAGGCTGAAATGCAGCGCAGTTCATTGATGATTGAGACCTAGAAATAGTATGAGGTTTGAGGTTTGCATTTTAGGGTTCATTTTTGACATGTGACTCTCTGGCTGTAGCTGGGAGCAGATAGGAGAGTGAGAAACTTACTCAAGGCTGGTTATGCTGTGATTGGACTGTAGTGCTTGAGCTAAAGCTTTTGCAGCTTCTGAACTGATGAAGTTCCACTGAAGACTGAAAGAGAACATGGACAGACTTTGAATAGTGAATATCCATCACATTTCACATCTGTACTCTGCAGCAATTTCACAAATGTACTTTAAATAGTGCTACAGAGTGCAAGACAGAACAAATTATCTTTATCTTATTATCTCTTTACCTTTACAACCGTCACTGGGCACATAGCGCGCCAAGTTTGGTTGCGTAAGTATGACCTCTTATTCAAATCATTTTCAAACATATACTCAGTATTTTACACTCATGGCATTGAGATCCTTCAGAAGCGTTTCTCCCTGCGACTCCTGAAACACACACTTGCAGCAATGCGCCGGCATCTTCCTTTTCTGATGAAGGGTCTAGGCCCGAAACGTCAGCCTTTCTGCTCCTATGATGCTGCTTGGGCTGCTGTGTTCATCCAGTCCTGCACCTTGTTGTCTCTGTATTTTATATTTGCTTGTCAAACTTAGCATCACCCATACTAATTGTGTGGCTATGACCTGATCTTGCATTCAGTTAAATTTTACTCATTGAACCTCTAACACCGCAAACAAACACACATGCCCTTCACTCTCAGACTCCTAGAATCATACAATCCTTACAGAAGCAGGCCATTCAGCCCATCAAGAATGCACCGACCCTCCGAACAGTAAACTCCCTACCCCCATTCTCTGTTATCCTGCATTTCCCATGACTAACCTGCACATCCCGAGGCACCTTGGGCAAATTTAGCACAGCCAATCCAGCTAATCTGCACATCTTTGAACGGTGGGAGGAAACTGGGATGCCCGGACAAAACACACACACATGGGGAGAACATGCAAACTCCACACAGACGACCAGCCGAGGGTGGAATTGAACCCAGGCCCCTGACGCTGTGAGGCAGCCATTGCAACCATTGAGCCACTGTACTACCCTATTTATGTCAACTCATTACACTGTTAACATATTAATTCTGCTCTTAACACACTCCCCTCACTGTCTCAATGCCATTAACACTACTCCACATCAATGCTCAAAATACGTGGGGTTAGCAGGTGTATTCATCCCTGAAATCCCCAAAACTCCTGGGAAAATTAACTGATGGGACCAAACAGAGAGGAGTCTCCTCCCCATAAATAGAACAAATGGTGAAGACAGTTGCTTGTCCAATCAAAGGGTTGTTCTCTCCTATCCTTGCTGCAGATAGGCTAACCAGTAAATCTATTAACAACAAATACAGAAACAAAGATCCTGTGATTGGAGAAGCAGTGAAGAGCTACTTAAGTAAGCACTGGCAATGTGGGAGTTGTAGTTCAAAAGCTTGGGGCCATGAGCCAGTTGCTGCTTTATTGATACCATGAAGTGTGGGAAGCTGCCTTTTGTGAAGGCACTCTGTCTGCTGGGTTTAGCAGGTTAAGAGGAAGGCCTTATGGGAGCTGGAGAAAACAGGGAGTTCAAAATTAAAATTCTCCTGCTCTACATACATACCATCCTTTAAAGACATACTCAATCCACGCGCACACTTCCAGTTACTTAAAACTCAGTTTCAAATTAAACCTAAACACTATTATGGAATCGAGTTTTTAAACTGTTCCCTTGTACACTTCTGTTCCTTGGTTGGTCTTTTGTTTTAACACTAGTCAAAAGAAAAATTTCCCCTATGTATGTGCTTCAGTCTCCACATTAAGAATGCTAAAGCTATGAGATCAGGACAGAGTGATACAGTGCAAATGGATCTAATGAGACAGAAATATTACAAAAAAAAATTATACTTACTGCAGAGAGGAGAGAGTTTGATTCTCTCGAATAGCTGAAGCAATTGCTGCTGTTCCTTCATCATGTAACAAGTTCGCTGTTAAACTGAGAATAATGAACAGAGTATTCAGCAGCCCTTACACTTGAAACATTATCTACATTAATTAATTCTCCAGGAGGAACAGCGCAATCTAGCATTGGGGTTTATTAAAGGACGTCTGTCACAGAAGTCAGAGATAGCAAGAACTGCAGATGCTGGAGTCAGAGATAACACATTGTGGAGCTGGAGGAACAGTAGGCCAGGCATTTGGAAACTTGGAAGTCCAGCTCCTGATGAAAACATTCCAAATCAATTTCACCAGGGTAGGAGAATGTGAGTAAGTTACAAATCATACATCCATGATTCGTGGTGGCAGCTGCTAATATAAAACAACAATTGTCACCAGTTTGTCTGATCTTGGCTAGCCAAAAGAGTGGGAAATACAACATATACAAATCAGAGCTGCAATATTTGTAAACTTTGTGGTAAACCTTCCGGGATTGCTTAGATATGGAAGATACCCTTTGGATATGGTCCCAGGAAATGTACTAGAGAGAGATAAGGTGTCCTTTAGGATATTTAAAGGTAATCATGAACATATGTAAAAGGTGCATAGTCTAATTTAAACTATCAATACAGCTGGTAGGGACCAATAAATCTAAACTCTTCAAAGAGAGCTTTCAGGTTTTTAGGGTATTTAAAACTCTTGCTGTTTAAATACTTTTTTAAAAAACACTGCAGCATTCCAAAACGTTAGTTGCTATTTTACTTTGTTTAATGACATAAGGTTAGGATTTATCATTACAAGGTTACTGCTCCATGATTGATTGTACAATCTTTCATTATCACAGTGGGATATCTCTGATTATAGAGACTTTTTGAAGTGAGACAATAAATTACAATGCTTGTTTATAGAAGAGATTGAGGCAAATTAAATTAAAGTTTAAGGGGCAGCATGGTGGCTCAGTGGTTAGCACTGCTGCCTCATAGCATCAGGGACCCGGGTTCGATTCCACCCTAGGATGACTGTCTGTGTGGAGTTTGCACATTCTCCCCGTGTCTGCGTGGGTTTCCTCCGGGTGCTCCGGTTTCCACCCATAGTCTAGTCTAAAGATGTGCAGGTTAGGGGGATTGGCCATGCTAAATTGCCCACAGTGTTCAGGAATGTGTAGGTTTTAGGGGGATGGATCTGGGTGGGATGCTTTGAGGGTTGGTGTGGACTTGTTGGGCTGTAGGGCCTGTTTCCACACTGTAGGGATTCAAAGAAAAATATAGCGAATAGTTTTTTAAATCAGTATTTTAAAATAGCAGTGTTTGCTGACACCACAACTCCATCCGAATGTTCACTTGGAAATGCACATGCACACAATTCCAGACCTGCATTCGCTGACACTGCAACTGCACCAGCATGCTCACTGTACGTCTTAGTGTCATGTGCAAAGTGCACAGCAGAAAAGACCTCCAGGGTCAAGCAGGGTGGGTTCAGAAAGATGGGTGGACGAAGGCTCGACATGGGGGAATTCAGACCAGTGGGGAATTCTCTTCCCGGGTCTCAATTTCACCCCCCTCCATCCTGGGTCCATGTTCCAGCAGAAATAGGCATGCCATTGAAACACTTAAATAAAGCTCATTCACTGTCACATGTGCAAGCATCTCCCAAGAGCATACTGCGCAAGCTCCTTGGTGTCAGCAAACGCAGTCTTTTAAAATATTGAATTCATCAGCAGATGATTAAGGACTTTACTTTGTCTTTTTCCATTTAATATTTGCAACAGTTTCTGTTTTTATTTAAGTTTTCCAGCATCCACAGTACTTTGCTCTGTAAAGATTGTCTAATGATAGTCTTTGTATATGTTGCATCAGAGGGTGACTCTGCATATGAAGGATTCTGAACGAATCATAACCCCTTTAAGATACAAACATAGATACATAGTTCTTTCTAAGCTGAGAAATACTTCTAAGTGATAAAATTAAAGAGCTCTCACTCTAGTAATACATGGTATAACCCTTAAGAATTTCTTAAGGCTCTTTGAAGTAAAAAAGTTAATTTAATGCATTAGACTTACTCCAAGGTCCTAAGCACCTTGTTCACACGTAGTGCATTCGCAATTTCCCTTGCACCATTGAGGCCAATAGAATTTTCTCGAAGGCTAGAAATAGAAACAATAATAAAATTGGAACTTATCCTGCTGTTCCTAAGCAGTTAACAATACAGTTGTCAATTGACATAATGAAGGAACAGCAGAACATGTACCATTAAAGTAATGGAAGATATCTAAAGGTGCAATTAGGGGTATCTATGGCAGAATAGAGAAATATCATTAGCGAAATGGAACCTATCTCCATAATTCTCTGTTGCCTAACCGCATTTTTACTCAATCACTCTGTCACATTCATATGCTAATGTTATAAATGTGAATTATAATTATACATCATTATATATATATTTAAATATAAGATATACATCTACACACACACACACACACACACACACACACACGTGTCACTCAAAGGCCAACCCCATTCACACAGAAACAATGAAAATCTGGTGTCCAATATCTGATCACCTCCAAGAGACTGAGGGTCAAAGTACAGAGTCTTACTTCAGGTTGATGAGGCCTTCATTCAATTTGAGAGCTGCGGTTAGGGCAGTGGCACCATTGTTACTTATGGAATTACTCTGGAGGCTGCAGAAAGGAAAATTACATCAGTCATTGTGTGAACGAAGAATTTGTTGACCAATCAGCACCTGCCAAAATCAGTTAACATATTTGTAATTAATGTTCACAGTATGCAAAACTTCAGCTGCATTCTCGTTCAGATAAGTTGAGGTAGACAGAGTGCCTGGAGAAAAGACAAGAGATTCATCGTTTTTACAAGAAATCTTTACAGGAGTGTGGCAGAGGAGGTTAAAAGAGATTCTCTAGATACATGAGTATTACATTTGGACAGATCTGAAATTAATGCATAAGTTAGGAAATGAGGAGGGAAAAGTTGACCATGAAATCCAGGGGCTGCAGCTCTGGTGGTTATATTTTGGATGATGCTGAATGTTATTATGAGCATTGACCCCACTTGGCATTAGAGACTGTGTGCAGCAACATTGTCATTATTGGCTGGTTATATCTCACTTCATCAAACATTGTTATTCTGAGGCCCAGGGAGGTGAAGAATACCTAATCTACACTTGGGCCTTTACAGAACCCAAAGCAGGATAGGAGAGGAAATTTTCCCCAGCAGTCTATATGTTTATTCTATGACTATTCTTGAAACAATGTCCTGTGATAAACAAAAACCTGTGCTGAAGAACTGATGAGGTGTTAAGAGATTGCCGATCGTTAAGACACAGAGACAGAAACTTACTTGAGTGTTGTGAGGCTTCTGTTCACTTTCAAGGCTTCAGCTATGGCAGTAGCTCCAATATCACCAATGCTGTTGCTGGACAAACTGGAAAAGAAGGCATTTCTCGTCATGGTACGCCCAGACCCCAGGCAAGGTTCCCCAATTTGTTACAGTTCCAGATGGGATACCTCAATTAAGCTTTGGGATGAGGAGGGATGAACTTGCTCTCCTTTATTCACCCAGCCCCTCAGATGGTTGCAACGGAGTTTATTTAAAAATTGATCCCTTTTCCTGTGGATACCTTTCTCCCAGCCCCAAATTAACTTAAAATGACTCAATTTAAACAGGCTCTTTGGAGTTAACAAACGTGGTTTTATTAATAATGAAATATGAGAAAATTTAATAACACAACCTACATATACACAGATTAGAAATAAGAGGTGGATCCAAAAAGAAAAATAGTTAAGAACAACAGATATCAGATATCTGAACTTATGTGTATAAGTGTTTGCAAAAGGCAGAAGTTAAACATCACTGCTGTTGCAGTAGAAGTCACCAGTAATACTGACACTGATGGTTGAACAGTTGACTTCAAGATTTTTAGTTCTGCAGGTTAGTTGAAATTTTGTTGCTCTAATTTCTCTAACTCTAATTCTGTTGTTCTTGACTGAATTCAAACATTTAGCTTGCCAGCTAACCAGCTGGCTCCTAGCATTCAGTGTAAGGAATCCCTTTACCTGCAACACAGGGGTGACTAGGTAATAGTTATTTGTCTATGATCTTTACAACATGCTAATGTTTGAACTCAGACTAGTACATACAGGTATCTTAGCCCAATAGTATATACGAGAACCTCAATGCCAGTAACAAACTTCAGTGGAGCTGAAACTGGCTCTTTAACCCTTGTACTTGTGTATTCTTCAAAGGGAACAATACTAAATATGACTGCAGGTTGGAACATAATCTGCAGAGCAAGGCACCATCAGCCCCACATCATCAATATAGGCAGATCACAGTCAGTCTGTTTTGATGTGTCTCTTCCCCCTTTGAAGGGTTGTTGTTTAAGGTTCCTTTGCATCTTTAGGTGTGGCATTCCAAGTGTCTCTCCTTCACCAAACAGCCCCTTGAATTACGTTTGCAGCCATCTTTGGCTGCATTGGCCTTCTTTTAAAACCAGATTTTGGAATTACAAGTGAAAGACGTCCAAAGTACTTTGGGGTTCTAACCCATGGTCATGGCAGTCATCACTGAGGGAACTGTGTAATAGGTATCCGTGTTAATGAGGCAGGACTAGGGCAGTGCGGTGAGATGGTTAACAGGTTGATATTTAATGGGCACTGGTAAATTTGCAGCTTTTGTTGAACCCCTTGCTGGCATTGAGTTCCACAGTAAGAAAAATCATGAATATGTTTAACCTTTCCATTACCCAGTGCCCAAAGTCCATGGGAGAACTGACAGTTGGGACTTACATGAGTTCCTTTAAGATCCCATTATGCTTTAAGGCACTTGCAATCCGCTTGGCACCTTCATGGCCAATGGAATTCTTTTGAAGGCTGAAATGAAATAAAGAAAGATGGGTTAATTGTGTGAAACAAAGAAAAAGAACACTTGCTAACTTCACATTTAGACCCAATCCAACCCCACCTTCAGCCCACCTGCAAATTTTTCAATAACTTCACAAATACTGATTGCTAAATGGGAAGGAGTAAGAAGAGAGGGAAGTTTGGCTAACTTTCTCCCTCCCTCTGCCGGGATCTGAAGCCTAATAATACCCCCACGCTCCCCAGCATGGCACAGCGTAGTCTCGGATTAAAGCTGGCCTGTAAGGTTAAGTACTTACCCAATGAGGAAGTTTTATAATTGCTCAGAGTCAACCTGTTCTAACTACAGGCAGGAGGCAGACAAATCATTCTGCCCAGGTTCAGTCCACATTCTTGATCCAATAGTATTTGTCAGCTGCCCAGTCACTATGAACATTCAAATTAGGAGTAGGCCTTCTGATCCTTCAAACTGCTCTCTCATTTGTTACGATTGTGTCTGATCTGACTGTGGCCTCAACTTAACTTTCCAGTCTAATCCCCGTTATCTTTGATAACCTTATGTTATGGAGAAGGAGTAGCCAAACCCCTCTGATAATTAAACTACAACACACGCCTCAATCTGTTATGACGGGAATAATGGTTCCCTCATAATAATCACCTCCCGGAACACCCACAGAAGCTCGCCTTTCCCCTTGTAATCTATTAAAATTTTTTAAAGCAAAGATGATGCCAGATCTCCACTTTACAAATAACAAGAAACAATTTATTTATTTAACCTCAACAATGAAGAAATTAACTGAATTACCAACAAACTGAATAATTTCCCCTAAGTACAAACTATCCCCTAACTGAAACTATCTCCCAAATTCTAATGGAATGCTATTCGAATAAACATAAGTCCCATTTATATAAACCCGATTAATAAAGAAAACAATAACTTAAAACTTAATCTGTCCAAGTTTGCACAGACTACTTCTGGAATATTCTATCTTCTCCACTCTCTTCATAAAACACCTTCCGCTTATTATGTGGTCAGGGATTGTTATCTCTATAATTTCTTCAATGAGGACTTTGAGCTATAATACCATGGTACCTTTGATTAATTAGATAGCACTATTCAGCTCTCAGAGAAAGCCTATCTCTGGCAGGTGGCAGGTGACACTCTGATTTTCCAAATGCCCTCGTCTTATATACCCGTAATAACATAATCAAATACTGGTAATATGATTAGTTTCAGGTTGTCAACACTATCAGATTTAAATTCAATTGGCTTTCTGTATCTAGGTGCTTGGTTTAAATTAATTGGCCAAATTCAAATCTGTTGTCCTGTTAAATATGCTACTTGGCTGTTCTATGCAAAATGTTTCCATTCGGGCACTCTCTGTGCACCTGCACTTACAAACTTCCAAGCACAGACAAAGCACAAGCTCTTCAAGGGACCAGACACTCTTTGCCTCATGTTCATTTTTAACCAACAAATTCTAACTTCCTGCCTTCCAATTCATGAATATTCTATCCAACTTCATAACATTTATTGGTCAAGAATCAATTCATCTCTGCCTTAAAAATATTCAATGACCTTTAAGCCCTCAATCAGGCATGAGAATTCAAGGCAATTCATGGATTTTTAGCTGAAGTAGTGGAGCTGAACTGTGCACATGCCCAAAATCTTAACCTTCACCTGATCATTATTAGGTACTACAGGAAGGAGCCTGCACTTTCCAAACTATGAAGCTTGTTACACTTTGACCACATAAGCAAATTCACCAGACAAGGCCTCTAGTGCATAAACACAAAATTAGGAACAATGATTCAGAAAGATGGTCAAGGCTTACTTTAATACAGTTAGTTTGCGATTCACATGAAGAGCTTCTGCGGTGAACTTTGCCCCATCTTCAGCCACAAAATTATTCTGAAGACTGCAGGAAAGCAAAATAGTGTGTTGGAGCAGCAAAAACTCAGTCAAATATCATCAAGGCCATATAGCCTCATTTTAATCTAAAATATCAGAAATCCTGTCACATGTTTCAGTGGTTAAACAAATTAAAAGATATGCAGTGGGTTTGGCAGCCATTGAAAATATCAAATCATTTTGCAGGAAATGAGGTACAGGAAATTAATAAAAATAAATAAATAAAATCAGTTCCTTTCATAACAAGGATTCCAAATGGTAATTTGGAACTGAAACCTTTTTGTTTTCTGATAAACTTATTTAAATGAAGTGATATTATAAAATTCCAAGCCTGCTCTCCCATTCAAATCCCTCACTAACTGACAGTTCTTATTGTCTTGTTGTTGGAACTGGACTGTGCATGTAAGATTCTAAGAATGCTCTCTCATACCTATTTATGTACATTGTGTAAATAATTAATAGCTGTTGCCCAACAGGAGGACAAACTTGTCTCTTTCCACAATCTCAGTGTAATATTACAACATGGTGGCAATAGTAGAGCAACTCTCACACAGTAAAACTCCTGATTGTCCCAATTGAAGGTGGGAACATTTGAAGCAGTGCCCAAGAAAACTCCTTAGGGAAGGCCTGAAGCAGTATGCCACTTTCAGGCTAGTCGACACTGTAGTTAAAAATGAGCTCCAAAATTGCCCAGCCAAACAGATACTGTGCAGCAGAAGGTCCACAGTAGGAAAACACTTAGAAGCTTCCCAGTCTAAGCCACAGAAGGCAACAGGCAAAATGTTGATTGAAAAGGTCCTATTCGACAGTTTAGCACAAATGAATTAACTCATGTTTGCTCAACTCCAAAACACAGGTATGCCTTTAGTGGTGAATATGTCCTTAATCCTACCAGATTGCTGGTTTTACACTTGCTTTTCGACAATGGGGTATTTAAGAAGGAAAAGTCAACCAGTGCTGATCATTTTCATGGAGGAGGAGGTCCTAAACCCAACCAGGCTCTTTCAACAGAACACAGAGGCTGAAAACTTTTGCACAGACTCTGTTATTCCTTTTGACCAGCTGTGCCCTTGACTCTTAGTCTCAATGAGCACTCCAATGTCATACAACAGCAGCCATAGTCAGATGCCCTGCTTCTTTTATCTCACTCATCCTTGCTCCAGCCAGATCAACTCTCTGATGTCAATGTAGCGACCGCAATACTCTGCATTCAATAGCATCTACTCTATCAAAACATTTCATAATTTCAAAGAACGATAACATTTTTTTTGAATTGAAATAGCCAATAATGAGGCCTATAAGCAGATTAACATTGGCTAAATATTTAAAATTAAAAACAACTTGAGTTTTGCACAAAATTTGATTTTCACAAATTTCTCTCCTAGTTTATGAGACAGTAGGATTTGCATTACTGTTCCCTCATTTTTGAGTTTTCAATGTGTCTGTTGAAAAGGAAATAGAGGGCACAAAGAAAGATTTACTTAGATGATGCTAAAATTATGAACACATTACCTGTCATGAAATATGAGTTGGCTAGGTCTCTTTTCTCTTGTAAAGAGAAGATTGAGGGTGGTGTCAAGATGGTTAAAATTATTGGAAAACTTTAAAAGAGTGGACACATAGACTGCAAATTGAAAAATCATGGCCTAGATGTGTTCAAATAGCAATTGACTCACTACCTCCACCACCAAAATAGCTCACCAGATCAAGTCCCGATCAGCTTGTTAAGAATTACCAGTGAGCTTCTCAGCCAATCATAGGCTTAAACAATGGATTCCTGTCTTGCCAGGAACTTCCAGCCAATCAGAGGCCAGCAGCTTCTGGATCCTAAAAACTGTCTAAGGCCTAGTATTTAAGGGATCCAACAGTGAGAAGGTAAATCTTTTCCTTTGGCTCTCACAGAGGGGTATCGTATTGAGAGGAGATTTAAGACAAGGGAGTGGTGGGGTGGCTTTCAGCAGGTACCCACCTTCTGTCCTATACAGGTCATGAATGCCCCCACATGGAGTATTCCACAAAACCCAGTTGGCAGATTACCTCAGCTCTGATGAAGAGTCATCTAGACTTGAAATGTCAGCTTGCTCTCTCTCTCTCTCTCTCTCTCTCTCTCTCTCTCTCTCTCTCTCTCTCTCTCCATGGATGCTGTCTGACCCGCTGTGATCTCCAGCATTTGTTGGTTTCAGCACAGATTCCAGCATCTGCAGTAATTTGCTCCTACTAGGCAGATTATCTTTGTTTTCGATACAGGAAATCAGCCACTTTTCTCAGGATGGCAAGTAATCCAGCTAATGATGTGTTGAGGCTCTCTAATCACTAGCAATTTACAATTTAAAGACTTGATTTGCTGATGAGTTGAGAAAGTGCCCAAAGGACCTTCTTGTCCAGCAGTTAATTGATGAAGTGCAACAAGTGGGTGAATATCTCTCTTGGCACAATTTACCCAATTATTTTCACATCTTGCCACCTCCAGAGAGGGTCAATTTTACTTACAGTGAATGCTTCTGTGATACAGTATGGAGGAAAAGTAGTTAAGGGCCACTGAATAGTCACCAAGAAATCAAGAAGGCAATTCAGAAGAAATTTCTCTCCTCAAAAAGTGGTGGAAGTGTAGAATTCAATACCATGGGGAGTGATTGAGGTAAACATCGTAGCCGCATTTAAGGGGAAATTTGATGAACACATGAAGGGAACAGAATGATAACTGATGGGGTAAGATGAGGAAGGATGGGAAGAAGCTGAAATTAAGCATAAAGTAGGCAGGCTGTACAAAATTGCCTGTTACTGTGTTATAGCTTCTATGTAGTCACTTACTTCAATGAGACCAAACCCTGGTTTATCTTCAAGGCATCAGCAAATGCTTTTGCTCCTTTGGGACCAATTGAATTGCTCCTAAGGCTGTTGAGAAACAACAAACAGTTGCAGAATGATGAAAGTGCATGAAGGAATGCATTAGGAATAGCACTCGGTGAAAATACTCACTCTAATGCAGCCAGAGTCCTGTTCACCATCAATGACCGAGCAATTGCTTTTGCTCCTTTGTTGCCAATTAGGTTTTCAGCTAAACTGCTCAAAACAAATAACACCAAAAGCCAGGATTAATGCAACAATGATCATAATCTGTACAATTGGCTGCAACCTTCCATAATCCTCCTGCCCTCCCATCCAGTCTCAATTCCCACTGTCCTTCCAGTCCAGACTCACACCTTTAAACATCTAGTCGAGGCCTCTCCTGTTGCCTGTCCAGCCCAGTCCCAACTCCCTCACCCTCCCAGCCCAAGATCCTCTTCTCTGGAAGGCCACAAGGGGGAAGAGGGATACGGGGAAGTTGCAAAGCAGCAGTGAGAGACTGGATAAGCCACAACGGGTGGTAAAGACAAGAACACTGCAGGGCAGGGTGAGGGAGTGAGAGGTGGAGATACAAGAGGGATCAGAGAGTGGGTGTGGCTGCAAGGACATGAAAAGAGGTTACAACATGGATAGTAGAGAAATGGAGACTGCAATGGCAAGGAGTGAAGAGTGAAGCTGTAAGGGTAAAGAACAGAAAGGCAGGCTGCAAGGGCACAATACTACATCTCCACTTGTCAATCTGCACCTGCACCTGCAACTCAATAATCTTATTTACTACACTCTGTATATTTACAAACATACACAGTAACACTGATTTAGACTTCATTACATTCTCCTTCACCGAAACCCAATCAATTACACTTCTATTCTCTACTTTAGTACTACTTAATTCCCAGTATTCAGTGCACCTTGATTCCTCTCTGATATTTTGTCCTTCCCACATCTCTGCCAAGCTCACTTAAACCCTCCCTAGGAGCCCCAGCAAAACATCCTGCAATGAAATCAGTCTCTGCTCCATTCAGGGGCAAATCATCTGGACTGTATAGGTCCCATCTTCCCAGAGCTGGTCTCAAAGTCTAAAACCTTCCCCCATGCCATCTTTCTAGCCACCATTTAAATTTAATGGGGTTGAGATTATTAATAAAATCTTCTGCATCACCTAATAAAGATGCTTGTAAGAATAAAAACCCTCAAAGCAAAAAAGTAGCCTGTAAAAAACAAAAAGGTAGCCCTCGACAGGAGTCTATTTTTTATATATATAAATATATATATTTTGTGCCCTGGTGTGTGGAGTATAGTGAACAAAATTGGTGAACTGGAAGCAGAAATTGCTCTCAGGGGATTTGACATAGTAGCATTGACAGAAATGTAGCTCAAGCTAGAAGAGAACTGGATACTTAACATCCCAAGTTATAAGGCTTTTAGTAGATGCAGGATGAGTAAAAAGGGTGGAGGTGTAGCAATCATGGTAAAAGATAATATCATTGCCCTTGAACGAAGTGCAGTTCCTTAACTAGAACCTATATGGGTAGAGGTGAGAAATAGAAAGGGAGTGGTGACCTTTTTGGGTATTTATTATAGATCTAAAAATAATGTGGAGATAGTAGAAGATAGAAGAAGTAGGCAGATTATGGATATCTGCAGGACAATTAGGGTTGTGATAGTTGGTAATTTCAATTACCCTACAGTAGAATGGGAAAAAGGTGGAGTGTGGAGCATGAAAGGGGACAAATTCCTGCAATGTGTGCAGGAGAACTTTCTGGAACAGTATATTTCCAGTTCTACCAAGGAGGGAGCTGTGGTAGATCTGGTCCTAGGAAATGAGGCAGGCCAAGTAGAGAATGTCAGAGTAGGGGAGCATTTGGGAAATAGCAATCATAATATAAAAGGTTCATTGTTAAGATGCAAAAGGATAAAAATCAGCCAAGGATTAAGATTCTAGACTGGAAAAGGGCAGATTTTAGGGGTCTAAAAGTTGAACTGGAACAATTTACAACTGATTGGAGTCATGTTTTGCTGATAAACTGGTGGATGAAAAATGGGAGAATTTCAAAAGAGAGATGAATAGGGTGCAAGCCAGGTATATACCCATGAGAAATAAATATGGTGAAATACCATGGATGACTAAGAATATTGATGAGAAAATAAGGAAGTTAAAGGGGGAATATGATGCATACTGGAATAATAGCAATAGAAATCAAGAAGAGTATTTCAACTGCAGGAAAGAAGCTAAGGCTGGAATAGGGAAGGCTAAGAGGAAGCATGAGGAAAGGATAACAGATTGCATTAAAACAAATAGTAAAACGTTCTTCAAACATATTTATAGTAAAAGATTAGTGAAGCATAGAGTGGGGACCCATAAGGAACAAGCAGGGTGAGCTGCTCACTAAGTGAATATTTTGCTTTTGTCTTTGACAAATTAGAAAATGGTGTCAATGAAAATATGAGTGTTGAGCAACTGAGCAGTACTGTGATAGTTACAGAAGAGGAGCTAAACAGGCTGGCAGCATGATTCCATCTTCAGGCAACTGTCTTTGGAGTTTGCACATTCTCCCTGTGTCAGCGTGGGTTTCCACTGGGTGCTCCGGTTTCCTCCCACAGGCCAAAGATGTTCAAGTTAAGTCAACTGGCCAAGTTAAATTGCCCGTAGTATTCAGAGATGTGCAAGCAAGGTGGGCGAGCCATAGGAAATTCGGGGTTACAGGGATAGGATGGGGTGGGTCTGGGTGGATGCTCTTCAGAGGGCCAGTATGGACTTGATGGGCCGAATGACCTGTTTGCACACTGTAGGGATTCTATGATTCTATTCTATGATTCACTCTAGGTAGAGAAGTAACTATGTCTAGATGGGATGCATCCTAGATTGCTGAGAGAGGTAAGGGAACAAATTGCAGAGCCGTCGACAGAAACTTTCTAGGCCTCTCTGAACAAAGGATTCATCCCAGGGGACTGGAGGATTGCAAATGTGACACCATCCTTTAAAAAAGGGGGGAAAGGATAATCCAGAAAACTACAGACCTGTCAGCTTGACATCAATAAGTAGGAAAACTGATAGAGGCCACATTACGGAATAAGATAAATTTACACTTAGAGAAAAATAAGTTAAAACAAGACAATCAACATGGCTTTGTCAAGCGCAGGTTACGTCTGACAAATCTGGGTAAGTTATTTGATGAGGTGACACAGACAAAGAAACATAAAGGTATTGCTGTGGATATTGTATATTTGGACTTCCAAAAAGCATTTGATACAGTCCACATGACAGGTTGGTTAGCAAACTAGAAATGTTTGGGATTGATGGGTCCTTGGCATCATGGATTGGAAACTGGCTAAAAGATAGGAAACACAGTGCAGGTATTAGATGAGCATTTCTCAGATTAGAGATGAGTTGAAAATAGTGTTCCCAGGGATCAGATTTGGGACTCTTGTTTTTTCTGACTTATATAAATGATTTGGAGATGGGTGTTAAGGGCAAAATTTCTAAATTTTCAGGTAATACTAAGCTAGGTAGAATTGTGAATTGTGAAGATGATGCTGACATTGACAATTTGGCAAAATGGACAGTCACTTGGTTATTTTAGATGGATTTTAGATACAAGGAAAGATTAGAGAAATTGGGCTTATTCTCCTTGGAACAGAGAAGATTAAGAGGTGACTCTACTGAGTTGTTCAAAATTATTACCAATTTTAACCAGGTGAAGAAGGATATTCTGTTCCACTAGTTGGTATGTCAGTAACTAGGAGTCACAATTTCAAGAATGTCAGCAAGAGAACTAGGAGTGGGATGAGGACAAACTTCTTTACTCAGGGAGTTGTTAGGATTTGGAATGTGCTACCTGGGAGATTAGTGGAGGTGGATTCCGTAGGAAGTTTCAAGACAGAACTGGATATATATTTGAAACTGATTAATTTAGAGGGCCATGGACATATGGCTGGAGAATTGGACTAGCTGGGTAGTTCTTTCAGGAGCCAGTACAGAGACAATGGGTCAAATGACCTCCTTCTGTACTGTAAAATTCAATGATTTTATGTTGGCTATGGTACACAATACACTGCTTTAAGTAGGAATTAGATTGTGTAAGAGAACAATAGTTTGCATTTGTATAGAGCTTTTTTAGTGTATAAATCCATTTGGAAGCAATTAAGAGAAAGGCATACCTAATCTTTTTAATCTGGCAGTCCTTAGCACTCAACAAGCTGCCCAGTAGATCCATCACATTGTCCTTGAACTGGTTGTTTTCCAGCCTTTAGAAAATAAATAAAACACACGTTTTATGCTGAGCTTAGCACTGTCACCAGATATTACGGCTATCCTTTGGTTCCTAGCTTATTATTTGTCATTTGCTGTGAAGCTGACAACAGACAAATGAAAGAAGCCAATGATCTGCATTAGAGTTTGGAAAGATACCCACCCCTCTTTGAGGGTAAGCAGAGGTATGTTTCCATGACCTGAAGCAGATAGCTACTAGGGATGATTGCACTCCCCTACTGCAGATTAATGAGGCACCCTTGAAATGACCCCGCAATCTTCATCTGGTCAGTACAACTGACAAGGTCATCATCTGAGGAATGTCAAGGACATCACACCCAAAAATAACACTTTGGGAATGCAACACACCATTGTCTAACTCTTTCAGCAATGTATAATTCCCTTAGTTTAAGATCAAGAAGGTAGCACACTCCCAGTGTAATACTGATAAGGTAATACTCCCTCTAGCCCAATTGCTGGAACAACACACACTCCTTCAGTGACACACATAGTGCTCCCTCAACATCAATATAATACTCTCATGGCCATAACCAAACAGCAACACTTCATTTCAATATAATCAATGTGTTGTTCACCCAGTCTAACATCAACAATGTCGCACTTAGTCCTCAAACTCTGTTGAACCTCAGTCCAAGATGCATCACTCCCTCACAGCACACCTCATACAATACAAAACTCCCTTGTTGCAACACCAACATTGCTTTATTTCCTCAGTACAATATCCCCAGCAATGCAGTACTTTCTCAGTACAGCATCTTTAATGATGCAGCATCCCTCTCCCCTGTAGATCACACAATGTGCAACAATTATTTGACCTACTACCATCAATGCATCACTTCCAACAATTTAGTACTGCTTAAGTCAAACACGAAATATTTGGCACTTTGTCAGTCCAAAACCAATAATGCAACACCACTTGGTCTTTAACACCTAAGGATCTATCCTTGAGACTCAGCTCATCATATGACGTGGAGACGGTTAGATATCTTCTAGTCAGTCTAATCATGTTATTATACATCACTCAAACAGGTGGGATTTGAACTCTGAGTCTCCTGGCTCAGAGGAACAGACACTACCACTGCACCACAAAAGCCCTTGATATATGGGCTGTCATTGCCCACTTGCTGATGACACCCAGCAACACCTTTCCACCACCTGATAACTATTACTGTGCTGTCATATTTCCCGGTTGACATTGTGGATGACTGAATTTACAGCAGAATTAAAGGAGGACTGAAACCATTGCTTTAAACCCCACTGAATCTGCACACTTGCTACTGATACCAAGCCTCAGTCCATCTTCTCATTTTGAATGAACAATACTGGACTAGTTTAATGCACTGTTAAACACAGAGTAAAGGTTCATATCCATACATCTTCTCCCTGCCCTTCACAAGACTACATACTTCTACCTGCCCTAAACCTTAGTCCCTCTATCCCAGACCCTCAGAATGAAATATCACACATCCTCTCATCCTTCAGAAACTCAGTGTACTTGCTTCTTATTCTGTGCAATTATCCACCCCATCAATAGGCTAGCTCCCCATCACCCAACATAGTAAACCTTTTCCCTTTAATCTTTCCATGGTCTCACCCAACCCTCTGTCAGCAAGCTCCTCCAGCCTTATAGCCACCTCCCTTTGTCCAATCAGAGAAATTCTAAGAGTAAGACTATCTATTGTCTGTCTTCCATGTATGCCTAGTTATTCAGTCTATGAATACAAACCATGAAGCAACAGGAACCACACAAATGATGAGGTGAAGTTCCAAAATTCAACTTCTTTCTGAAGCAGCAAATCTCAGCTTCTAAACTGAAGCAGTTCAAGAAGGAGATAACAAGGTGTAGAGCTGGATGAACACAGCAGGCCAAGCAGCATCAGAGGAGCAGGAAGGCTGACGTTTCGGGCCTAGACCCTTCTTCAGAAATGGGGGAGGGGAAGGGGGTTCTGAAATAAATAGGGAGAGAGGGGGAGGCGGATAGAAGATGGATAGAGGAGAAGATCGGTGGAGAGGA